AAGGCGAACTACCCATCCTGCGTGAACTTCCTCAGATTGTTGTATACACATCTCAGTATTGGTGTTTATATAAAAGCATAAATTAAGTATTCATCACTTCAGAGGTAAGAAAGTTATTATTTGTGTGTAGCGTTCAATATCTGTTAGCTAGAAGTGGTTAGTTTTCTGCTTTCGATATCACGGGAACAAATCAGAATTCGCCAATTGATATGCGTGATTTTGTATGAATCACCATTTCACTTTTATGTGTGTGTTGATGCGTACTAATGGAATTTAAGTCAAAAGATCGAAACATTGTTTCGGCGGTGTGAAATAATAATAATGATATCAAATAACACCACATGTCTAATTTCTTCATTAAACCTACAACCGACTTAGTCAAGAAATAAATAAGCTGATGAATATAGCTAATACCTCCGCAGTTTCGTCAACAAAAGACAATAGATTCCATTAGAACTTGAAAAGTGATTCGATCGAAAAATTTACTAGACAAGAAATCACTTTGTTTTATGAGAGATTCGCTTTTGATTGTTTAGACAACTTGACTGCAATTTACAGTGTCTCGAAGACAACGCACATATTTTAGAATTGTGTTCTGTTGACAATTGACTGATTTCAATGCACAACAGAATACCTAACAGCGTCTAAGACGTTATCAAAAGTCGATAAGGTGAAAGGTGAGTCATCCACGTACTTGTTTAAAATATAATCAGCATTAGACCTGACTTAAAAATAAATATGTTATTTAGTGCACAACAGGTGGATATTTCATCCCAGTCACAAGTTTTACAACACTTCAGTGAATCAAGTATCTCGAAATATGAAACACCTTATCAGTAAACGTGAGCATTGCACCAGTCTAGCGACTCCTAAATAGACATAGAGGCATCAGAAATAGTCATTACAGTGACCAATTCATGGATATCATCCACTATTATAGGAAGGATATCAGTTGTGTTCTGAATATCTTTGTAGTGAATGTGACAGATGTAACAAGAACCAAGCGAAGGTTTTAATCGAATTCTGTGGATAATTATTAACTAGAAGGGAACTAACATTCGGTAAATTGAAGAAGACAAATCTTGCGAGGTGACATCATTTCATAGCTGCCTTACGACTGCAACTTTAGAACTAACATGAGTGGCGATAATAAAATAAAATATTTAACAATTATTCAGATTCACGTACATATAGACTTCCACCTTCGCCTCCTATGAACTACTTGACTTATTAAATCACGATTGGTTGTTAATACGCACTAATATTTCACTCGATTGATTAACTGTCAAACATTTTATTGCATTGTCAACAAACATGGCACCTTTCAAAAGGCGAAGAATCCCATGTCAGTTATAAGGCAAAGTCCAGCGACAAGCGAAGCAGGTGTTACACGGTGATTTTATTGAAGAAGCCGACAGTCCATATAACTCTCCAGTTCTTCAAGTAAAGAAAGAGAATGGTAAGTACGGATTCTGCGTTGGTTATCGACAGCTAAACAGCATGACAGAGCTGAGACTTTGTGCCATGCCAACTGTATTGGAGACATGGATCATCTGCAAAGCGAAAATTCGTTTACAGTGCTCGACATCCAGTCACGATATTGGCAGATACCGATAAAACAGAGTGACCGAGTTGAGAGGGCGTTCATTGTGGATCAGAAACAGTGTCGGTTTACATGCATGCCATTTGGACTAGCAGGACTAGCACCGTTCACCTTTAGACAACTTATGACCAATGTTGTTACTTAGATGCGGAGGTGGACAGTGATGATCTCGTCATCTACAGTCAAAACGAAAGCGGTCATGTGATCCATTTCGAAGCCATCTTAGGACGAATTCAAGATTATGGACTGTGCATCAACAAAACGAAATCTCAGATAGCCAAACGCAGTGTCACGTTGTTGGGTGGTAAAGTAGGCAACAGCGAGATAAAACCGCTTCCGGAGGAAATCTTGTCGATGTAGACCATTACGACCCCGAATTCCAAGAGGGAGCTGAGGCAGTTCCTCCGGAGTGAGCAGCGTTTTACGATCAATTTGTGAAAAACTTCAACGAGATAGCAGTCTTCCCCCCTCCTCATCCATGTACAGACTATTAGGTGAGTCGAAGTTTCTTTGGTCGGAAGATTCACAGAAAATATTCGACAGTACCAAACGGATTTTAGACCACCAGAAAATGACTCTAACCAGGAAAATAGTTCATAGTGTGCACAGATGAGAGTGACTACTCCATTGTCGCAGTTTTCGAATACGCCAGCCATGTTTTAACAAATACAGAACAGGAGTATTCAAAGATAGAGGAAGTATGTTTAGCAATAGTATAGACGGTAGACAAATGGAGACTGTAATTCCATATTAGATAACTTTAATTTAATGATCACACAGTGATGCAGTATTAACAACTGGATGACAAGGTTTCGAGCATAAATTATTGCTCATAATCGTATCAGCTTATTCACACGTTTTCACATTTTGTCTTATATATATTTTCTTCTTTCTGTCTCCCCAACTTCCCTTTGTTGCTTGTACCACTTTCTATATCTCTGGTATAGGCGTTGCGTCATTCCGATTGCACGTACGAGGTGTTGAATCGATAAACAAAGCTTCAGTGATTAACCTCTCCCTCCACTTAACAATATTACTTTCTAATACTCTCACCCTATTTTGTGATTACATGCAAGTGATTGCAGTGCAACGGCTGAGCTTTATTCTAGGTTATTTAACTTGGCAGGGTCAATTTTTCTAGGTCTAGCTGAATTTTTATGTTCCAGTAATCTAAATGACACTGATCTACTAGTTTGACCTATGTAATTGGCCTCACTCACAGTCATAACATGGGATTTGGTAAATTATATTATTTTTCCTAATTGGATCTGTTGGGTTCTTAAGCCGACAAAGATTATCTCTGAGTGAGTTGTTTCGTTTAAATGCCACCTTAATTCCAGCATCATTGAGAATTCTACGTATGGCCTCTGACGTCCCCTCTTTATACGGCAGTGCTGCAGAGGCTTTGAATTCTATATCATTTCGTTATTCTCGTCAATTTTATTGCTAGTCTTGTTTTTTCTATGGTTCCCTAATTCATATATTTCTGAATAAATTCTGGTGGGTAGTAATATTTCCTTTATTTGTTTGATTTCGTTATTTAAATCTTCTGGCCTACTGTTTAGGCTCTTGGCCCGATTATAAAGACACTTAACTAAACCTATCTTTATCGATTCTGGATGGAATGAATTAAAGTCTAAGTACTTATTAGTGTGTTGGTTTCCTATAAATCCTAGATTCGAACCCACCATCTTGTTTTCGTTTTATTCTACAGTCTAGCATGGCCAAATCATCTTGTTCATTTTCTAACTCAGAAGTGGATATGATGACGCCATTATTGCAAAACGTGTGGAAGAAAGGCTACTTTGTGAAACTGCCAAAGGAGGGCGACTTAAGACTTTGCAGTCAATGCTTGACGTGGAATTATGCTCCTGTCCAGACTAACCAAAGTATTGAGTGACGTCATCCTGGAGGGATCAAAAGATGCTGGGGATGGAAAAATTCGCCCGCCGGAAGAAGCTGTATTCAGAAAAAGTAAATCATGTACGGACCAAATTATAACATTACACATCATCATTATCGAACTGAGAACAGAAGGACGGCCAAACGTCTATCGCAATTTCATCGACTTTGTACGGGCCTTCGACAGTCAGCGTTGACCGATAAGTTATTTGGAAATTGCTTCAACACCACGGATTACACTAACGCAAACCTTTATCAACTTCATTCAACAGATGAATATAGATGACATATGCCAAGTGATTCACAACGGAAAACTCGGAGAAGCCTGTGAAGTGAAGACAGGAGTAGGACAATGCTGACTACCATCAACAATCATATTCCTGATCGTGATGGACTGGATTATAGGGAAGACTGTGGGAAGCAAGAAGACAGGAATACGTTGGGCTGGTTGACAGGAGGATTCGGACAAGATTCGCAGACGATTTGTGTCTAATTTCACACAAACTCGAAGATCCGCAGGTGAAAACCAACAAGTTATCAGAAGAGGCTGGCAGGGAAGACAGGACAGGACTTCGAGTAAACATAGACAAGACAAAACTGATGAGGATACCTGACCGACGACAACAAGCACCAATCACTGTGAACGGGAGAAATCTAAAGTTTGTCACTTCCTTCACTTATCTAGACAGCATCGTTTTAGCCTTGGGCGGAGTGGTTGGGGATGTCAAAGCCAATCAGGATCGGAAAAGCAAAACAGGCCTTCATTGCTCTGAAATCAATGTGGAAATCTCAGTGTGCACTTAGAGTAAGGAACAAGATCCGAACACTCAACACTAATTTCAAATCAGTCAGTGCTCCTTTATGGTTCAGAGACTTGATGCACGTGTCAGTGAAAGCATTTTGAGCAGCTGGTCTCGCTCCGAACTGAAGATCAGATAAAAACAACAAGGAACTGTTACAAAGAAACAATGGAGAGCCTATCTCCCAACAAATACGCAGAAGGAAATGGTTTGGATATACATCGAAACCGGTGAGTGACATCTCACATCAAGCAGGTCCTAGAGTGGAATCTTAATTGGAAACGACGATTTGGGTATGCAAGTGCGTCATGAAGCCAGAATGAATTTCAGTAATAAATTGTAGTCCTACAGAAGGTCCATTTTGAAGCTGAATAGCTCAATGGTAACATCTGTGACTGTAGAACCACTTGGCACCGGTCAGAATCTTAGAAGGGACATCAGTCTTTCCAGGACTGCTGATACGTCTTGCTGACGAGTGCTCAACGGATTGCAAAGCTGACTTGAAAGAATTCAGCCGACATAAATATCAAGGACTAGGCGTAATACATTGACTGATCACTCCCTAGTGTCTTTATTTTTCTTCCCAGTTTTACCAACTGAAGAAGCGACTAATCATTCCATTGGAAGAGGCCTATCAATAACGCAGATATACATTTCTTATGAAATGAGTCAATATTGATGGAAACACAAGAAATTTCCAATATTCTCATAATTATTAAATTATTATTATTATTATTACAAATAGTAGGATATAAAAATAATATAAAAAGTACTAATAAACACAATAAAAAAATGATATCAAACAAGTGTGGATTAAAAGTGATGAATAGAATAAGAATGAAATGCACACACCTATCTGGTAGTCGGCTGTTGCACAGGGTGAGGAAAGCAAGAACTTTTTAAATGCACTTGTAAATGTAACACGAAAAATGTTTATTCAAAAGAATTTTTCGAAAATTGCTTCAACAATATTACAAATGGTTGATCTTAGAGATAAATTTTCAAAATGTGAATTTGTTTACATAAGGGACAAAGAAAATCTGTGTACAACTAAAACAGTTTACTATTATTACCATTATTATGATTGTAACTAATCTTCTTATTAACATTATCCATGTGTTTGATCGTCTTCCACAAAATCAAGTGCTTCCGCCTTAGTTACGCATTCGATATGGCTGACCTATAGAATAGATAGTGAGGATTAATACACGGAAACAATAATCATGGTTAAGGAGTAAATTGGAATCTGTTATTATTAAAATACCGAAATAAAACGACTTGTTAATCAAAACGCACAGGTACCAACCGATTGGGTAAAGAATGAGCATGACAATGAGATCAAATTATTGAATGCTGACAAAATATAGAGGCGTTCGAGTACAGACTACATTATACATTGCTGGAGGGATGCATAGTTAGTTTTTAACCTAATAGTGGTATTTTTTTATTATAGCTCGATTCCACACAGTATTTTGGTACAAGTATGGAATTTTCAGCATGTGATATCAGTAGCCCAAATTTAGCAGGCCGACCATAGAAATCAGGTGTGCGTCGGCGGGGGATCGAACCTCGGACCATGTACATGGTCGGCGAGAGTCATAACCGCTGTGCCACCGGTCGGTGTCTATAAATACCATAAATAATACGGTCAGAGGTAGTATAAGTAACAGTAGGGATATTAGTTAACAAGAGACTAAATTTTCTCCATCAGTAACGTCGTCAAGATCGATTGTAAAGGGGACAAAACAGAGTTACGTATCATTATTATTTTATTCTTTTATGCTCCCAGTGGGACACGGAGCTTCAAAGTTTTGGTAGCAGTGGTTTCATTGTTGCAGGATGGCGTCGATAGCCTCATGCCTAAGCTCCCCTCTTTACCAATCTCTTAGTATTGGCTTAGTGATGTTTAGGAGTGCGTCGGCCGGGGGTTAAACCCCGGACCACATATGTGATTGACGAGCGTTATACTGCTGAAACACCTTCGCACACACAAAACAGGGTGGTGAGGAAAACTTCAGCAATAAGCAAATACTTCAGCACTTTTAACAGGTAATCCAGATCGTATGAAGCACAATGACAGAATTCGTAACAGAAGACCATGAAGTTTTCGTGTCATTACTTATTATACATTCGTAAGATCACTTAACAGGGTATTCATGATATATATATATATATATATATATATATATATATATATAGAGAGAGAGAGAGAGAGAGTCTGATGTGATGTGATCACTGTATTTTTCTGGAACCAGTACTTCGTGTTTTCACTGTTGGTTCACAACAAAACAGCCTTTGACGTAGCAGTTTACGTCCAAATTTCGCGCTTTTTGTTCGATTTTTCTCACATAATGTCGACGGTCATGATAATCGGACTTGGAAAACATAACTAATTTTAGCGTTATATAATATCTAAAGCAATCTGTGAAGGCTCTGAGATAAATACGTATGTTTACAAGCTGGTAGCAGAGTGATAATTAATGGTGTTTTGTTTCGGTAGATATACCGATCTGACCTAAATATCTTAGTAGTACAATCTCTAACTTCGGCGCTGACTAACACAAGTTTGAGTTTCAAAGAGGACTTAAATTTCTTCACAACTACGACCGCCCATTGCTAATGAGCGTAAACTAGACTGGAAAAAAACTTAGACCAAGTTCTTCGTAACAATTAACTCCTCCGAATATCTACCTATTCACTAAACTCACCTTGTTACGAAATTTGACACCGTAAAACTTCTCAGCTGATTCTAACAACTCCGGACGAAATGTGGTGGTGATGAATTGAGCTTCAGATTTCAGATCTCTAATCATATCAGCCACAGCTTTCCGGTATTGTGCATCTAAAGCAGCATCAATTTCATCAAACAAGTAAAACGGTGCTGGATCACACTTTTGAATTGCGAAAATTAAGGTTAGTGCAACTAGTGATTTCTGTCCACCGGACAATTGATTCATATCACGCATATCAGCGGAATCTCCAGTGAAACTAACGCGTATACCCACGCCAATAAATCGTTCCACGTCAGGAATAACACTGGGAACACCACCAGCACCTTCGTCTTCATCACTGCTCCCCTCACCTTCTTGCTATAACGGTTTTTCGGAGGAGAAAAAAAAGAAATCCATAATACAAACAATAAAGTCGACAGCAACACAACGAACAGTCATAGCAAAATGTGATTTCTATCTGAATTAGTAAACCTGAAATAAATTTACTTCTTACACAGGCTTTGAAGAATTCGGTAGTACCCATTTAATTTAATTTTGCAATACAGTGAACAATGAAATGAATAGATGGAAATTTTCACATTTTCCTGCCACACATATCACAAGTTGTTATTTTCCAGTGTATTGATAATAACAGTAATAATACTAATAGGTAGGTAATTGATGAGTCGCGTCGGTGGCACAACGGTTAGGACGCTCACCGACCATGCACATGATCCGGGGTTCGATCCCCTGCCACCGACGCACTCCTTTACCTCGCTAAGCCAGAAATAATGCTGGTAAAGAGGAAAGGTTGGGCTTGAGGCTAGCAACCCCATCCTGTAAAAATAAACACTGCTACAGAAACTTCAAGCCACTAGCTTGAAGCCCTATGTTCCACTGGGAACGTGAAGGAAAAAAAATTAGTCAGTATACGCTCAACTGATATGGGAAGGTTCTAGTAATATCTAATCTTAGGCCACAGTAGGCGAAGAACAGTGTGGAGACGTGGTTCATTGACTTAAGCACTAGAATTACAAAAAAACTTCCTAGGTGATTGGAATCCTCCTCCTCCTTCGGCAACTTTAGCCGTCAAACAATAGATGTGGCTAGTAGCTTCATACATGATAGCCTAAACCACTCACTTTACACTAATCAAACTTTTATTTAACTTTATGAGAATTACTAAATTTGTATAAGCGACAGAAATTAAATAAACTCAGAAACTGTTTACTTTTTTATATGAGGAATAATAGGCGGAGTGAAATCCAAGATGGACGTTTCGTCTTACTTGGGACACGTCAGTTGGAATTAGCTGCAATCCCAGTCAGTGGTTACCAGTGAGAACACCACCACCACCACTCACTGGAAATCTAGGTAAATCCAACTAGCGAATCCAAAGTAGCACAAAACATGTGCCCTAAATTTTACTGCTAGCCACCTACAACCAAGTGATATCACGTTAATCTAAAGACATTATCGAAGTATCTGTACTAGGAGCATTTCAGTACAATACAATTAATCAATGCGTAATACAACACAACTTAAATAAAAAAATAATGGAGAATATTTATAGCTCAGGATTTCGACTCCATTTTAGAAGGTAAATGCTTTTGACTAAGCGTAGATCTCTGCAAAACAATCTAATAAGAGTACACATTTTGTATACAGTAAGATGAATACTACAAAAATAAAGTGAACACTTACACGAACTCCTTTTTTCATGACTAATTCTGCACGACCTTCAGGAACAAGGCGTTTAAAAATATCCTGAAAATTCTTCGACACCTTTAAACAGATTAAAAAGGAGGGGGAAAATAACTATGAAAGACAATTCGACAGTCTTTTAAATCAGCAAGAAAACAAACACCAATCACTAAGGCTTTAAAAATAACAGCAAAATAGACAAACAACTGGAATTAAACAAAACAAAACAAGTCAGGCACCAAATGAGTACATAGAAGTGTACCACTTGCCGTCACCACACACTTCAAAACAGCCAACAGAAGAAAAACATAATCATACTATACTGATGGCTTTAAAGAGTATTAGATTTGATGAAACCATCTTAGGCGGCGAATAATCAAATCACTGACTAATTTTCCTTCTTTACCTAACATACCACGTCTAGTCTCAACACTTTCTAGATTGTTGTTCATCGTTCACAAGTGATTCTACGAAGGCAAATATGGTAAAAATCTGCAATATTCTTATTTCACTTGCTTTTGACAACCATGTCTTATTACGATGAAGTAAGAAAGTACGGTGGGTAGTGAGGTACACTTGCAATTCGATAGATAGCTACACATGTCTCCAGATGATGCAAGGGATACCACAAGTAGATAATTACAGCAAGCTAAGATTTCTTCGCCAATCCGACCATGGAGGTTGGTATGAAATGCAACAGAACTGAAGTGATTAGCACATAAAAATCATTTGTGATACTACTCTGTTGTCCAGCCTGAGCAGGTGGAGCGGAGCTCACGAACCACTGAACCACATGACCTTTCGGACGCTAACCAAGGAATCATGATATACCATCAGATGCTAAGTGGACACAAATATTCTTTAGTCTTTAGTACCAAGTAATGGACTAGCTATCTCTCTCCTTTTTCCAGCCTGTCCAAAAGTCAACAAACAATGGACAGTATGAGAGAAGCTTGGATGACACTTGCAGCTTATGTCTAAGTAACCAAGCGCGGTGTCCGTCCGAAGGTGACATCTACGGGTACAGCGATGATCGAGCAATACGGGTCACTATACATCCTTAACGTTGAACGACCAGTCCTTACAAGACTGCATCCACTGAGACGTTGTATACCTGTCCATCGACAGCCAGACGAATATCATGATGGTGTCTGAGATGGGCCAGGATGGTATACATCGCGCCGGCTCTCGCAACATGACTGGAAATTTTACCTCTCAGAACCCCCCCCCAGCGCTTACAGAAATATTTAGCTGAGCGAATGTTTCAGCTCAACGTTAATTCTACAACGTTCTCTTTATTGCCATCATACATTTCACTCCTACAAGTTAGGTCACGTGATTATGCTTTGAAACTACGTAAAAATGACCTAACCATTGCTTCGTCTCTAGCCAGTCCCAACTGCGTCTGTGTTAGTAGGGTTTTCCGCTAACAATAAAAGAAAACACTTTTAGAAACACATAGACGAACCTGTTTAAATGTTAGTTGAATAGCTTCATACTTCTGATGATCTAGTGCATTCATCAAATCTTTAATTGCTTGGCATCCTTTATCTAATTCTTCTTTTCGTTTGAGTAGTTTTTCTTTCTCCTCTGAATGCGATACAAATTGGTCGAGAGCTTTTTTGTTTACATGGCTGTAACGTTTCAATTCACGATTGGCTTTATCAAGAAGTTTGAAGAGCTAGAAAGACAAGAAGAAACGGAGAAGAATACAAATAGACAGCAATGTCTGCTTTTAATACCTTAGTTCAGCCTCAGAAAAGATCAGATGATGCTGTAGCACAACAATCTATTCAACGCTAGGGAACACCATAATGTATTTTGAGTGATAGAGTTAGTCGTCTGTACGTCTATGTTCCATGTTCCAGAAATTGTCTGTGTCAGGAACTAATAAATACAACCTCTTTATGACCTGACTAACCAAAATTTCAGCGTAGAGCTTTGTACAAGCAGCTCAGCGGTTCAAGTTGCCACACTCCATGTGGCACACAAAGGTGTAGAGGAGAGAGAAAGAAAAGAACTCCTAAAGAACTATAATCAGCCGGAGAGAGCAGGAGATAGAATACTAATAATACGAAAAACATGAAGATTTAACTGGTGAAGGGAGCAGATTAGACAGGATCTTTCCAATATATACATATACATAAATTAAGGCCATCCGACTAGTATCATTGACTAGTTTCATATAAAAAGCTATTCATTTTGTAATAGTCTGATTGGGAGGTAACCGACATGGAAACAGTGAGATCATCTGCTTACTTAACAAAATTAGTCTCATTAGAATGAGAAAAGTCAATTAATAAGAAGGAAAAACGAGGTGTAGGTTAAGAACAGCACTTTTAGAGACACCGGTTACAGTAAGTGCATACAATGCACTGTTTCCAATCAGAAAAATAAGAATGCAACCATTTATCAATCCAGCACTCTGTTTGTGTCACAGCAAGCTTGTTTAACAAGAGATACCATAGTACAGAGTCAAAAACACATGTGTAATCTAGGAAGGTACACCGAACATCCTCAGCAGCCTTATTTAAACTGGAGACAATATTATGACGTAACACAACAGCAGCATCTAAAGTACATTTAACATGTCTGTAAGCAAATTGTTAAAAACCTTCAATACAGCCTGAAGCTTAAGTAAGAGTGAGTTTATTTTAAGAAATGGTGAGGTGATAGCAGTGGACCATGATTTAGACACTGGGACAATTTGAATGTGTTTCCAAGAAGCAAGCAGAACACTTGTTGGAAATGATGTATTGAAAATATCAACAAGTGAATGATATATGTATTATCCGCAGACAGGCCATCTAAACCTAGAGACTGGAAAGGTTTCAATAATGATCAGTAACTAATTGTGCCTAGAAATCATCCGTTTACCAAAACTGTGTCGATGTGCCTTGTACTATATAAAATATACTAATAGAGAATTGAAAAAAAACTTTTAACACCATTAACAGGAAGTTAAACAAGATGTTTTTAATGTCATTAATAGTCGTTAGGAGAATAAGTTGAATAAGTTTCTGTGTGATCCTTTGTATCAAGGGTATTCATGTTTTCTTTTGTATTCCTTCACGTTCCCAGGGGAACATAGGGCTTCAGGCTAGAGGCTTGAAGTTTCTGTAGCGGAGTTTTATTTTTACGGGATGGGGTTGCTAGCCTCATGTCCAACCTTCCCTCTTTACCAGTCTTATTACTGGCTTAGTGAGATAAGGTAGTGCGTCGGCCGGGGATCGAACCCCGGACCATGTGCATAGTCGGCGAGCGTCCTAACCGCTGTGCCACCGACGCGTACTCATGTTTTGCTTTATGTAAATTCTTGAACAGGGTTTCTCAGAAATAACACTAGAGAAAGTGATGACTATATACACATTTGATGCTAAATACACTCCCATATTTACTGAAACAAAAGAATCCATATTGAGGAATAATCGACTTAACCGGTTTCCTTATCAGTCACATATACGAAATCCTGCGGCAAAGTAAACAGTGAGCTGCGTTTGAATAAACGCCGGAAAAGTGGCTTGATGGGAATATCCTAAAAATATTTTCGCAGTCATGTAACATCATGGTGAAAAAAGAGAAAACTACATTTTAGAAGTGCATTAGTAAAACTGTACCTAGCTATCTATTGGCCACAAATAATGTGACAGTATATGAAATTAACTAGGCTAACCCAGACTGAATTAGGTAGGAAGGGATCTCATTCAGCACTAAAGACTGAAAATTAAGTGTCAAAGCCAATGAGCAACATCTCTATGACTAACCGCATAAACTGAGATGGCAGTTTACTTGAATTAGTTGGGGGGTATAGAAAGGATGGAAGTTAATATCAGCGAAGTAAAGGTCGAATCCGATATGAACATATAAAATATATTACTACTTACCTGAGATATCACAACCAATTAGTTATTCAGTTAGTTAAATGATATAAACCGAACACATTTCTGGATTTATTATTGGATGCTTAGATTTTAACCTTACACAAACAGAGATGTGGACAGCTGAACAAAACTTTCAGTTTTTAGGGTGTGATGACCTTTAAGTGAACTTCTTTACAAACTCACATGAGCTAGGGAACCACTTAAAATCAATGAATATTGGAAAGACTTTTCGTTTTACTTAGGGACTCATCAGCAGTGTTTACTACTAGGGACTCCTAGTACGAGTGATCCCAAAACCATCAAGCATCAAGACGTGCATTCACCATCGAGATACTCTGGTGAAATCCGATGGCCAATTATGTCTAATTATTATGAGTTTATAAGTTCGTTTGAAGTGAACAATTTACAAAGCAAACATACCTGTTTCATATTTTTGTCTTGAAACTTATCAAAGGTATTTGCAGGTAGTGATCCCAGATCGCGTATCTTCTTCATATTCTCTTCTTTCTGTAAAAAGTGGAACAGAAAGCAAATATAAAGTATTTCTGGAAAAGCTTGTGGTTTTATTCAGGCTAGTGAATTATAAGTGGGAATAACACAAAAACTGGGCCTACGACAAATAATTTCATAAATGCAAATGAGGGGCGTTAGTAAATTGATTTAAACGCTTTACGGATTCCAACGCCAGTTGACACGAAGGTCTAAGCAGACAGGTAGTACCTTCTATCTATTAAGGTGGTGAACAGATAAAGCACTTAACGACTACTTCGAATTGCTAAAGTGGTAGGTGTCACTCGAAGAATAAGATCTGAATTATGCATTCAAAAAATGACACTATCATCAGCATATTACTACTTTGATAAGCACTGACTCTTCCACTTTACCTCTCCAAAATTTTGTTCTATCTGATTTTTCGCCCCTACAATCAATCTAACTCAGTTTATGCCTCAAGTTCTAATATATCATTTTTATCATTTGCTTGGCCCGTTTTTTAAAAAGAATAACCCTTCTCGTGATTGCGTAAGCACTCCTACTTATTTAATTCAATTTTAGATTTTCCGGTCGATAGACTGGACCAAAGTGCTCGGTCTCAGGTTGACATGTCGGCTTCTTGTGCAGATGCTTCGACGATATCTGGACATGTAATCAGAAGTTAATTGGTGGATGGTGACTAGCAGTGGAATCCAGGACGCGCATTTCATCCTATTTGGGACTCGTCAGCTGAATGTATCTGCATTCCACAGTTAGTGATGATGATCCCACCGAGGCTAGAACCCAGTGCCCATATCATCATCATATTTACTTTGGAATGCAGGTACATCCAGTTGACGAGTCCCAAATAGGACGAAATGCGCGTCCTGGATTCCACTGCTAGTCACCATCCACCACTCCTGCTTATGTTTAAATCCACTTTTAGATTAGAGAATATTCCTCTCCCTGCATTACACGAATGTCTTTGCTTTGATCACCACTTTATTATTCTAACTTCTTATATAGTTTGAACATAGTATTCTTCTTGGATTTTTTGATGTTCTACTCTTCCGAAAATGACTGACTGACTGACCATTCATTTAAAATAAGATAATGTCAAAGGGATTGCTTATGCATCTTATTAGATCAGGAGGTGTGCAGCTGGTGATGATACCCTGAGAGACAAAATGAAATCATCCTATCCTAAATAAACTGATTACATTGCATTATTCACGCCTTTTGTATGTCTTCTACTAAACTATAAGAACGTCGAAGAAAATAAGAGTTGACGTTTAAACAGGTGATTCAATGAGTTCAATGCGTAAGCAATAGCTTTTATCCCCGATATGCAATAATTTATTAGAAAAGATGAAGCTGATAAGACTAAACTGAAGACGAAACCACAAGCAACAAAAGTGCACTATTATCACATAAAATAAACTGAAATGACAAAAAACACCCCCAAAAGATGGATAATCATTTTTCACTTAACACACCTTTTTCAGCAGTTGACTTTGTTTAGATTGCATCTTCTCTAAATTCTGTTGATCATCTTGTATACGTTCAGCGTATTCTTTCTCTTCTTGCTTTTTACGCTCCATTTCTGATTCTAGTTGACGTTGTTCATGCAATAAAGCTGATAGACGAGCTTCAACTTCATCTACTGTACGCTGTGCATCTTCAATACGACGTTCAACCTATAGAAGAACAAATTCGTTTATTTCGAATTATGATTGATATATAATCAAAGATAAGTTACAAGATATAGTAGAATAATTAACATTAACCCACACGAGTTAATGGCTGATATAAAATCGGTATAGGTACAAAAGACTCGCTTGGCTACCATCGAAGTGAGTGATTTATGACATAGATAAGTTATTCCAGTGTGTTAGCCAGTTTTGAGTCTCCATGTGTATAAAAGATATAAGGACGATAGGAGGTTTATAGTTTGTGATGATAACTATTCAACCACTGACCTCCTCAGGAAATTCAACAGTTGTCACCTGTCTATGCTCTTCACTACACTATGGAAGAAGAGCCAAGTCCTACATTCCACTTCGCAGATGTTATACAGGAGAAAAAGAAGGATGGTTCACTAGAAAGACAAACCTACCGAAAGCTAACATTTACAGGGTAGTATATACTTACTTCAACAGTTGGATACCTCTAGGTAGAAATAGAAACCTTATCCATTCTCTATGTTACAGAATTCTGAAAATGCTCTCTAACGATGAGGTCAACAAAGACCTAGAAAACTTTTGTATAACACCCTTAAATAATAGATATCCTAGAAGGTTCATTGTAAGAAATATGCGGAAAGAAATCGTTCCTATGTAAATCATAGTGCTAAACAAGAAACTTTATGAGTTTGGTATTCAAAAGGTGACACTGCGACTGAAGTTATTGACAACCGTTTATCGAAATGTACTGAACACTCCTCTTATACCTCTGACTTACACCTGGTATTTTCTGGCCGAAGTATAATTCGACAATGTGAAAGTTACACTACCACTTATGTCGACTTTGCTTTGAAAATTTTGTAATTCGTCCGCACCAATTATATCCTCTTAAAAATCATGTTAATTATCTTTATTCTTCGTATAAGTACATTGATTGAGCAATTTCTAGTGCCACTTACTGCCTTTTTCCGTAATATAAATACGATTTTACGGCTTGCAAGTGAAATCATTGAAAAGAAATATTTCTTCGCTAAACAAAGCTGTGTTTTAAAAAATACTGACCGTAGAGTTTCTTTCAGGAGAATATTATTCGAAGAATAGTAGCAAGTCTTTCCTGAGAGATTTTTACAACCGTTTATGGTGGATGCTTATCGCATTATCACCCTTAAATTCGAAATTCAACAGCAATATTTTTCTTGGAACTACACGCTTAGCAGGCCTTTTGGGTTTCAGGTTCTTGTAATAAAAACATCTACTGTTATTTAACAACACAATATTTGTGTAATTTCTGAGTTAACCAGTGTAATAATTAATTATGTAAGGATAGAGAATCAAAAGGAAATCAGAACTAGCAGGAGTAGAAAACACATGAGGTTTCCAGACCATCAGGAAATCTCAAAAACTAAAATACTCTCGTATTATTAACGTTCTTTGTTTTTATTGACTATAATTTACAAAAAAGTAAGGTAAAAACATACTATGAAATTTATATAAATGGAGTGTTTTATGCATAAATCATTCAAAAAGATGGATCTTACTTCACGTAGTTCTTCTTCAGCTTCGGCTAAACGATCCTGTAAATCTTGTTCAGAAGCTTCAGCAACTTCAGATTCCAATTGTTCTTGTTTTCTTAGCAGGTTATGTTCCAACTGAGTTTCTTTCTCATTTTTCTCAGTTTCCAACGTAATTCGTTTCCTACGACAGCACAGACAATCAAATGCGAGTTAGAACACGACATATTTCTCAGCCATTCTTCCAACTCAACTAACTTCTAGTTTACTTAAAGGTGGAGTGGAAATGTAATTGAATAATCACTTACGTGTTCACGTACCCCAATATGTGTACCACATGTTATATAAGAACAGTATCTGGCTGCATCAAAATTGCACAAACGGAATGAGATTCCAACATGTAGCTTGTCGGTTAAAAGTGAAGCATCGTTAAAATCAAGAGAAGATTTATGGTCTCATTACAGTGCTTTCCAATGATTCATATCAGTATAATGAGCTAACTACTTCGTCGGTGGTTCAGCGTTTGACTCCTCACCAATCCCGCAAGTGGTTTGGGTTAGAATCTCGGCCGACTCACTCTTAAACATCGACTAGCCCGTAATACGTCTGTAAAAGAGAGAAGGTTGGGCATAAGCCCAGTAACCCCACTCTGGTAAAATTAACACAAGGGCTACTGAGAATTCAAAGCCTGAAGCTCACAACGCGAAGGAATAAAAAAATGAATAGTTTGGTAACTAATTTTAATGTAACAACTCGAAGTTTGTCTTCAAGAAGACAAGTTACGCTAAACTTATTCAGAAAATCTCAAACTTTGAAGTGGCCTTATATATATACACATACAGCATAAAGATAAATTACAGAAGAGAATTAGATAATCTTATATGGAAACAGACAGTTCGGTGCAAAAATACCGACAAACAACTTACTTGTAAGCTTCTTTAGCCTCTTTAGTTAGTTCCTGAATTTTATCATTTAAACGATCAACTTCACGTTGCTCTTGAACAGATAATTGACTTAATAAATCGGTTCCTAATTCAACCTATGATTGCAAAGGAAAAAAAATTAGTTGGATTTTAAGGGTTATGAAACCAGACAAATCCACGAAAATACCAGTAGCTAATTTATTATTAATATTATTATTTTGTTCCTTTACGTTCCCAGCGGAACATAGGGCTTCAAGCTAGAGGCTTGAAGTTTCTGTAGCAGTGGCGTCTATTTTTAAGGGATGTGGTTGCTAGCCTCACGCCCAACCTTCCCTCTTTACCAGTCTTATTACTGGCTTAGCGAGGTAAGGGAGTGTGTCGGCCGGGGGTCAAACCCCGAAACACCTGCGTGGTTGGCGAGCATTCTACCTCTGTGCCACCGGTGCACCACCAGTAGCTAATACACGACGTAAAAAACATAAGTAATTTGATAACAACAGGTTGAATGAATAACTTTTCTAACCACTGTCAAATTTTACAATATCCTAAAAGTAAACTTCAAAATTTCGGGGGGAAAATGGATTCCATTTACTGGAGACCTACATATAGGTTCAGTATTACAAAAAAAGGTACCAGACAGGTGTCTTGTTACGCGTCTGGAAACTTAGTACATAAGTTCATTCTGTATGCATTTTTACATATTATACGATATTATGAAATGAAGGAATTTACGAAATTCACTTCTCTGAAAATCGTATAAAGTAGCAGTATTGTCTAACATTGAAATAAAAAAATGATCAAAGTTAGGAAATCCTATCGTATTGGAATCACTAATTTGGATAAGAAAATCTCACCATTTTAAAAATATTTTCTGACCCCAAAATGAACAGAATCATTAAGATGGGAAAAATTAATAAGAAGTCATATAAATTTACATCCTTTAAACTGAAGTACCGATATTTATGTCAGTGCTAGAAAACAGTAAAGTGAATACGCCTCTAACCGTTATCCGAAACATTTAATTGTACCAAAGTCTATCTAATATATGGGATTTAATAAAAAAAGAAATTGACTAATTACCAACTAACCTTGTATGATTCCATTGTATACTTCATTTGATCCAAATCATGGCATAAAGAAGATAATTTGTATTCTTTCTGTGGTTTAGTTTCTTGTTTTGCGCGTAATTCTTCTTTCCACATATGAATATCCTTTTTTAATTTATCAAATGTCATTCTAAAACAAGAAATCATTTATACCATGAGTTGAGAAGAAACTTGCTCGAGACTAGTACACAGTTTAGATTGATATAACAACTTCAATATTAACAAAAGCCGTTAAGTGTTGGTAGTCTCGTAAATGTCTACTAATTAGTAACACCGACGACCAACAATAATATCGGCTATCATTCATTCAAACTATATTTGTGAATTGTATTCTACAATGTGATTGATTGGTGTAACCACCTAATACCAAAACCCCTAATAATTCCTTCTCAGAAGACTATACTTCTCAACCACTGGATCAAAATGATTATACAACCAAGCACAATATTAAACAATAGAACTAGAAAAGTTTACGTATCTCTTAAACCTAGTGAATCTACTATCAGATCAATTAACGATTGGTAAACATATACATATCACTACTCACTAAGCATAATCACTTAAGCGAAAGTATATGAAATGTTGGACTCTAAATAGTTTATGTAGGATAACGATTAGTTGTCGGTTTTGTTAATAAAGGCGATGTACACATACTTTCTCACACACACAGTCCCAACAGTTTGTTATAACTAATTCATAAAAGATATAAAAGCATCATTTAAGGAAGTATGTTCCAAGCTCTTTTCCTTTTGAAGAAAGATAAGTGTAGACACTTTAGGTGATTCAATGTGTTCTGCAGTTTCTAACACTTAAAATTCATTAAAACCTTTAGTACATACTGGTTTTGGTGAAGATTCACGACAAAGTGGTAAACATGAAGGTATAATCAATCATGATCATATACAACTTATCAATTAAGCCGCTTGTGGATGATTTGTACTCTTCTTGATTTTAAGCAATCATCCACACAAACTAAGTGGTAAACTGACTGGCTTCAACATAGAACTTTGCACAGAAGTTCAGCAGTTCGAGTTGCCACATTCCATGAAGCACACAAAAGAAGACAATAGGAAAAAGAGATTTGGTAGTACAATAATAAGCACAAATGTGAGGAAGAGTCGATAGTAACATAGGAAAACATTAAGGTTTATTTTGGATATGTCAGACCAAAGAGAGTGAGTACATCTGCGCCACTGAGGAAGAATTTGAGCCGCATCATCAATAGTCTCCAGCCATTGGTTCTTAGAATCCCGAGGACCAACTAGACAGTTAACACCTCCCTATGTGACTCGAACTGGCTGTTAGAGATTTCATGGACTGATGCCATGTTTTCGTTTGACCACCACTAGCTCTTTTCCAACCTAATCATATGTCAGCTAACTTTGCCCGCCGAGGAAGGCGATGGTTAAGCATACGCAACACGTGTCCTAGACATCTCAATCGATGTAACTTCACAGCCTCGTCGATTGATTTCCCCTCCTTACCTAGCACTCGACGCCTGACCTCAATATTGTTCACCCTATTATACCACCTAACACGGGAGACAGAATGCAGACACCTATGATCAAAGACAGCAAGCTTTTTTTTGTTTCCTAATTTCAATGGCGATGTCTCACTCACAATCATAAAGGAGGACGGAGCGAACTGTTGAGTAGTACACACATCCTTTGATCGATAGTCCACTGGATATCACGTATACACCAGAAACGATGTAAGTTGGAAAATACCACACGAGACTTTTGTTTCTATGCTGAGATTTAGTCATTAATCAGTCCGTTGTGGATGATGCAAATTCCCGAATAAGTGAAGTGGTTAACATGTTCTACCACCCCACTTCCTATCTTTAAGCTAGGAGTTTATATAGTCCAATCCTGTAGCATTATCTTACATTTGACAAGAGTAAATCGCATGCCAAACATTTGATAGTTGCTGCTCAAAGCGTCCCGAAGACTGTGCATCTTATCAGCGTCTTCATTTAGGAGGACTGTATCATTTGCTTATTCCCTGGTAACAATTCAATCTCTAAATCGCTGAAATCAGTAAGTGTTAATTCCATTAGTACGTCTATGATGAAATTAAACAAAAAGGGGGACAGTGAGAATCCCAGACAGACACCACTGGTTGTTATAACTTTAGATGACAACTCTCCGTAAGCTCCTACACCGTTGCGTGAGTTAGAGTAGAGTGCCTTGATTTAGTGGTAGAACAACTAATAATACGGCATCAGAGAAGCCGCATCTTTTAGACAGGTACACTGTTTCATTTCCCTTGGTTATTAGCGCGTGTACAGTGATAAATAAATATATAAAATATTCCAATAGGGTATTTAAGATTGACTTAAAAAAATGATGCTATAATGATTTATTAATCAATATATTAATGGTGCTTAAGTTGAATAGATATAACCGTCTTTATTACATCTAAGGATCCAAATTAATTTTCTAGAAGCTATCACTGATATAAGAAGATTCCTTTAGTGTGAGAGATTATGAGAACATTTAAAATGATTGAAAAAGTTCTGGATTTCCCACTGACTGGTTTTAATGGACTGAAATGCTCAACCCCTAGTACAGACGCTTCGATAATGCCTCGAAGTTAACCTGGCAGTGGCATCCTGGGATCAACTGCTAGTTATTATCATCAACCAAATATGACCAATACAGTGGTAAACTTATTAAATTGCATAAAAGTCATCTAACGCTTAGATTTTTAAACTCACTCATGTTTTGATCGTACTGTATCCTTACGTTGTACATCATCTATAATACGATTAATTTGTGCATCCACTTGTTCTTTACGTTTAGCATTATTTTCACGAACGTTTTCAGTTTCTTGAATTTCAATTTCTGTCTTCTGTTTACGTTTCTGTAATTCTAATCGTGACAATCGACTATCATAATATCCTCCAGTAAGTGTACCTTTACGTGATACTTGATCACCTGTATACGTGTGAAAGAAAAAAATAACGATAAAAAGACAATCCTCCACCCCTCCCCAATGGTAAATGCTCATATCCCTCCATTCGGTAGTTAAAGAGACAATCAAGCTATACTAATAAAATTCATGAAATACGTGCGCGACAGTGCAATAAAAGTTGCAGTAGTTTTGATAAAAACGACTATTCTACAGAATTAAATACCATAATGCATCTCGACCTGAGTGAGAAAAATTCTAAAACACGCAATAAATGATGATATCAAATGCTTACTATAAATAGCGAAATTATAATGGCATGCATGTAAGCCACTCTTATTTGTCTAGTCTTATCGTCTTTGCTAATTAATTATCAATTCATCAAACTCATAGAATGCCAAATAAATACCCAAAATTTACCAACAGCCATTTGTTAAGGTGCTTCATGGAGTGCTTTGATCAAATCAGCTACCTCAACGAGGAAATAATCGCATACTTCAACATTTATGGTTTAGGACCACGGAGAAAAACAGAGCATTAGTAGTGCCTGCAACATAAGTGGCATGAATAGCCTAGACTAAGTGAAACTAGATTGTATCAGCTTTCAGTTCAACAAAGATAACTTAAGGTAAGTATGTATTGCTTATAAATACATACAGGTAGTATGTCGAGTAACGACTTCTCAGAGAAAAAAAACGATAATTTGTGTCAGTGGAGAGAAAAGTCAGTCACGAAACGAGAGAAGAAGACAGAGAAGGAAGATATTATTGCTATTTGCAGACTGCGACGTCAATGAAAGGTTTTTGATTTCCTATATAAGCATCACTTCTAACCTAATTAGTCTTGTTCACTTCTGTAGGAGTAATACTTGGTGACAAAATAGGGCAAAGCTATGGTCTTTACTTTCAATCAAGTGCAAGACGGTAACTAGTAAAACAGTAAATAGAAAAACACTCTTCAAAGAAGAGAATCACAAGCATTTACAAACATGATATATCTAGGGATAAAATCAAATATTGAAAATAGACTTAATTGTATGATACGAATATTAGCATAACTGACTCAGTGTTCCACTTACCATCAAGCGTGATACAGTCAAAGTTTTTCGTCCGAGCCAACTGAGTTGCGATTTCAATACTACGACAAATCAGTGTCTTACCGAAAATATGCAACATGACACCACGAAATTTAGGATCGAAATTCAAACGAGAAATCATTGGAATTGCATCCTAGATGATTATGAGTAAGTAATAAAGCATTAAAAACCGGTGATGGATAGCATAGAAATTTTAAAAAAAACTTATTCAGAAGTTGGGTCTATGAACATTTAGTTGATTTGGGCGGAAATTTAGTCACGAGTCGACACCAGTCAGAGAACCATTGAAAACTAAGAAACACTGAACAATGGTTCCATCACATATTGGAATTCTTCAGCAGTGGACACTAACCCCGTCAAGGATAGAATCCAGAGCGTGTTAGCTTGAGGGTTCGAAACCGGAACGAAACAGATATTTAGTACCTCCTAGTTTTCGGCTATTTTCTAACCGCAAGCATATATGAAACACCCTAGAAAAAGCTATCAGACCGATTATCACATAACAGATCCTGAAAATTCACTCCCCATTTTTTCGAATTAAATTACGGGCAGTAAGCAGTTCAGTGTAAATTTTAAATTTTATTTCCATATAGCACTTGTTTAGTGTACAAGTTAGTTAGCATTAGTTTCCTGATCAAACTAATTTAGATCTGAACCCTATTTGAATACGTGAAAAAAATGTATCTCAAGTCTAGGTTATTTCCATGATACAAGAAAACATCGATTTAGAAAAACTAAAATGAGGAATATTGTAAGCAAAATCGGTTCTCAATACCAATACCAATATTAGTCATTCAATACAACATTCACTAACGATACAAGGGGGGCCCATACTAATTTTCTGTTTGATATATGACAGCGAAACAGTATTATTTACTGGATCCAGTAAATAAATATATAAATATGACATTTAGACCTACAGTTCAATGGAAATTCAATGAAGTATAAATAATTTATATCAGGAACTAAACTGTGAGGATACAGAAAGTTCAGTAATTTACGTTGCTAATTATTATATTAGAACAAGACATATAAGCGAACAATATTCTATTCCCGTACATTCCGAGTGGAACATAGGGTTTCAAACCTTTAGCTTTTGAAGTTACGGCAGCAGTGGTTACATTTTTACGGGGTGGAGTTGCTAGTCTCACACCCAACCTTACCTCTTCACCGTCCTTACTACCGGCCTAGGGTGGCTTAGGAGTGCGTCGGCCAGAAGTTGAACCCCGGATGTTTGGCGTGGTTGGCGAGCATTCAAATGCCGAACCTCGACGCGTGGTGGAGTAACTAAGCAGCGATCCCAGTACCCTTATTATGATTAGATTATAGAATTTCTAAGTGTAACATTATATAAAAATAAAACGAGTAACAAGAAATATAAACAAAACACAAGTCAGATACAAACTTACATTTGTCTCTGGATATGAACACTCCTGTACACACAATCGATTAATTGGAAGGAAGTTAACTTCTCCAGGAAGATTGTGTTTATTTATTTCTGCAATCATACGGATAACTAATTTGTCATTCTGTACTACATGATAAAATAGACGTGAACCAGCTGTTACTTCTACACTAGTGTAGAATGTTTCTGGACAATCAATTAATTCTATTAACGTCCCATGATAACCTTGTACTATATCACAATCTGGACCATAGCGATCACGAAATATCTCAACCACCTGAATATATGAAGTAAGAAGGGTAATTAGTTGAAAAAAAAACTTTATTTCGTGTTAAGTTACTGAAATAATACTAACAGTAATCTAATCTGCTGACTTTAAAAATATTTCCTAACCTAACACAGAATAACTCCTCAGATAACAGAGTTTTGTTCATTTCGGTATATTGTGTAAACAATCAAATATCAGATATATGCAACAAGCATGATGCAAGTCAGTTGACTTTTAGTTCGGTTAAGAAGTGGTGAACAGTTTATCACAAGAAACTCTACAGTGACAGTGAACATAAGCAAAAATTATACTCAGTAAGATTTGATTTCTCCCAATGATCTAAACTGCTTAACTGCATACCAATATATGAAAGTTTATAAGGGAGACGCAAGTCAGTAAAAATAACAATAGTAATAGCAAAATTAATTTCAAAAAATTGCAGTTCAGAATGTCAATGGAAATTTCTTATTATTCTCTGAGTTTGTAGTTTCGTAATCAGCCACACCTGTTACATCAGGAGATAGTGATACTCGCTGGATTTCCAAAACTGTGATAAGTGGAGTTCAGGACCGCTTACTTGAACACCTAAATATGTCAACCACTTTACTTACAAATAACGAAACAATAAAAGTAAGACTACTAGTTTCAATTAAGTGTTTGTTAATGTTAAAATCCCGCTTTATTTTTACTAAGGACAAGAAAATAAACTTGATGCTGATTAAATGCAGATATTAGAAAAATAATAGAGAGATGGGAAAAAAAGATAATGGGTAGTTCTAAAGTGCTAACTTGAACAGAGAACCCAACGAATCAAGAACTATATATATATATATATATATATATATATATATATATATATATATAATTCATACAGAAAGTGAATGGTATTTTTAGAAAAACTACACAGCTTGCTTAATGGTGAAGCACGTAAGAAACGCATCGATAACTCTGCCGCTGATAGAGGAATTGTGCTAATACCACATGGATGATCATAACTAACTTTAGAATATATTTGCGAAATATTTTGTGCAACTAATCTATGTCCGTTTAATGAGACAATTTAAAAAAGGAGCTTGCAAACAGAATAGATTTACTTCACACTGTAGAGTAACTCAAGAACAACTTTCAATAAATGACATGTACTTACTTTACGAACAGAATCTAGACCGTTTAAAATGCCTTTCCCAGTAATAGATCTTAAATTATGTTCAGTTCGAGCCAATTCATCACGTAAATTATTCAGTTCGTGAGCTATTCTAGTCTCTTCTCGATAAACAGTCTGTCTGTCTGTTTGAATCTCATCTTTTTCACGTCGTAGTCTACGTTGTTCCTCAGAAACCTACAAAGAAATGGTTTCAGAAATGACAATGCACAAGGTAATCAATTATATGCAAGACATCAACGACTATACAATAAAATATACAGCTTTATACTTCCAAAAATTAAGTTGTTAATTAGCAGTGATATATTTCTTATGTCGAAAATCTTCAGGTCAAGAAAAGCAGAATATAAACGTGAGAACAAATTTACTTAGAAAACTTTCTCCACTGGATTTATTCGGCTCTTATTGCTAGACTATTTAGTGGATACGAAACACTAAGAAGTATATATATATATATATATATATATATATATATATATATATATATATATATATACTACTTAATTACTTTGAAGAGTTTGAATGTATGTGGAAGCGGGGGAAAAACAAACACAACTTTAGTGTGAAGTAAAACAGAATAAGTGAGTTTTTTATAGTCACAAATATTTAAGCCAAAGAGACTAAACGAACAAAAGTAGAATGGGGTAAATTACTCTTCGAAGATAAGCAACAGTACATCATGAGTATATGATATATACACAGATAACCAAATTACACTTTCCAGAATAAAAAAAGTTATTACACTAAGTTAGTAAATAATTTCGTTCTGTTGTTTACCCGAATGTTGGATTATAATAGATTCAAACTCTGATTCATTAACCGAAATCCGGGTAACCACAACAGCTGAAGTAACTTGTATATGGTCAAAGAGCTTTATTATTATCATCTGCGAACACCTCCAAGCAAAATAGAACAAATAAGAGTGGGTAATCCGGTAATCGCGTTCAGATTTGTGTATTAGGCCTTGAACCAAAAATATTGTTAATGCTTAAAGGTATTCCTTGATATCAATAAGGAACATGAATGCCTTAGTAGAGGTTAGTTCCATAACAGAATAATTACTTTTTTGTGGAAATTGTTGATTGTCAAAGAAGTGAGAACCTTACTATGTCCTTTGTTGTTACTTAGTTCGGCACTCGTGTCCTAATTGCATTAGTACTCGAACAGAGATTTCCATAAATGAATCATGCTTCTATATGTGGTTTTTAGGCAAAGGACAGTTTAAAAGTAATATTCAATGCTATTTTACAAAGCACTGTTCTGAACATGATTTTTAAAGTCATTATTAACTGAAATAAACACAACGGATCTCCAGAAACAGCAACCAATGTTACAAAGAAGAAACCTCTGGTGCTGGATAGTAAATAACGACCGCTTTTCAGTTAAATACTATTAACGATCAGTTGTAAATGTAAGCTTTTACTTGAAATGCACACACATACAACGCTGAATGACATGCTTTTAACTTGATGAATTGGTCACTCGATTAACTTTCAGCATATGATTCATTCACATGACAGCTGGCCATTACGCGTTATGATTGCAGTGAAATGACAACCCAGTTGGGTCTCGTAACTCAAATGGTAGAATGCCAGACTGATACTTCGGAAAATATGAAATCGAATTCCACCATGATCTAGATCTTCATTTTTCTTTCTGTCATTACCCATTGCATTTAATTATTAATTAGTAAATGAGTAATACTTAACCGTAAAAAAAACTCACCGTTTCTAATTCTTTTCTAACACAAGTCATGTTTTCTTCAGCTACGTTTAGATCTTGTTGTAGTTTTTCACGCCTGTCATCATCTCGTTTAATTTCATCATTCAACTTATTGATTGTGTTCTCTTTGTCTTTTATAGCCTTGGCTAAACTTTTCATCTGATCCTTAATCCATTCATCACGTTGACTACGCGATTGAAATTGATTGACTCGTCCTTGCTTGGCGAATAATTCCTTCCTAGTAGCATAAAATAAGCAGTTATAGCAATACAAAAAATAACAGAAGACGTAACGACTGTACTATCACCTACAACAAGCGTTTTAGTTTATTTTTACCTAATGGAATGTGAAAGAATTTGTAAAGGCTACTTTATTATTGTTGATTCACATGCGACTCTATCAGGAAACTCAAGTAAGTTAATCCGTAAGGTAAATGACAAATCTGAATGAAGTAGGGGCTTGTAGAACAGTTGACAAAGATTTCAAGGCCATAATCCAATAGCACCTTTTTCAAATAAAGTCCTTATGGCAAGTTATCAGCGTGTTAGCGAAAAAAACATGAACAAACGTAATAGTTTTGGTGTTTTAAAGATGAAATGCATACTCAGTGGTTAGTAAACAAAAACGCATGATGTTCATTTGACAAACATTGCGAAGTGTTAATAACGATATGAAGAGAGTAGAAAAAGATGCGTCATCAGAAACCAGATCACCTGTGTGATACAAATTAGATGACAAGTAGTGGTATCCAGTCACTTTACTTATTCTTAAGCTGGAAATCTGGTACATTCATTCGGAATTCAAAAATGCTAAATTGTAACTAACTTTGACTAAACGCTTTTTTGGGAGACATCAAAGTATTTTAAGCAGGAAACTATTTAAACAATACTCACCTACGATGCTCAGCATCACTAAGTGCATTGGCCAATTCATCTTCATATTGTTTAGCCTTTTTATACTGAGGTCTTAATTCAGCCAATCGACGTTCAACCAAGCTAATTTGTTCTCTCACACGATTCAGCTCTTCAGAAGCCCGTTCACGAGCAGACTTACCACCTCGAAGAGTTGCTGAGTAATCAGCTATAGTAAGTTGAAGTTGTTCGCGACGCTGCAGAACATCACTCACAGATGCTTGAACCTGCTCTACTTCATCTTGCATTTGGGCTTCCTTCAAACGATTATCCCTCAAATCTCGTTCTAGTTTCTAACAAAAACCAAATAAGTGAGAGAAACAAGAAAATACAGCAATAACTACTGTATGTAATTATGATCAGCCAAAAATTATCAAAAAATTCTACAACCCGATTTCATTAGTACTAGTACGCTAGTACAGCTTTATCACAGAGATTTAGGGAGCTAAGTATTATTACCAACGCTGACCAAAACATATGTAGCTCACTTTCAGGTGCATGTCAATGCAAGCAGTTGACGAATAACATTTTAGTTATAGCTGCTAAGTTATTTACCTACAAGTGTCAGACTAGGAATTATTTGCTTAATTTTCAAACAAAGCTGACCTAAACACTTCAGAGTTTCCCCTTAATGAAATAACACCAGTGATAACTTGACATACACTGCATACGCCTAAATACCTCAACCATAGAACAAATATAATTTACGAGTTGATCATGGATTGATATCAGTTAGAGAACCATTGAAAACCAGGGAGTACTGGACAGCTACTGTTTCATCCTAGTTTTGGGAATCATCGGCAGTACACTGAATGGTATACGAGCTTGCCTTGTAACCGGAAGGTCCTGGGTTCGAATCCCAGTGGGTGCGTACTGCCGATGATTCCCAAAACTAGGATGAAACAGCAGCTGTCCAGTACTCCCTGATTTTTAATGGTTCTCTAACTGATATCAGTCCGTGATCAACTCGTAAAACATAATTAATCCTTACAAACCAAACTATAGAGAAATATAATTTAGTCTGAACTAATCCGATTACTGCTGTATTAGTGTAAGAGCAGTTAAGGATGACAGCTTAAAGGAGATATGTACATCGTAGGAAAGACTAGCATCAAACACTTAAAACTTTGATTTTACATACAACTAACTATATTTATTGACAAACATACAAACTATCTGCCATGTGGAATTTCCTAGTGGCTCACTCCGCAAAATTACGTAAGATGAGTGACAGACAAATTCAAACATGTATTTTTACAAAAACAAACGAAAACTAATTTCAAGTAGGAGATTAACAAGAAAGTATAATTTACCTCTATTGCATCTGCACAATCTTTGGCAGCACGTCGTATTTCTGCGGTACTTTCACTGCTTTGCTCTCGACGAGTCTGTAGTTCTTCTAGCTTCTTTCGCGTTTCCTTCAACTCTCTATCATATATCGTAAATTCTAAGGCACGTCTGTCTCTGTCCCAGTGTTGATATTCTTTCAATTCTTTTGTTTCATTCTCAAGAGTCCGTAAACGATCCTCAATACTGTTTAAAAGTTCAGATATTTGCTCTCGTTTAGCTTCTGTTTTTCAAAAAAAAAAAAACAATTTTAAGGTTTAGTAACTGCTAAAACTAATACAATCTTAGGATGAATATCAGTTTCTTCAGTAGTCCATCATAATACTAGAAGTTGGTATGAATGCGCGTAATACACTTCCAAATTGCATTACGAGGGTGATGAATGCGATCATAACCATTGTGATTAGAACTTGCACGTTGTAAAATTAAACTTATGGCACCTGGAAGCTCAGCAGCACAACATTTCGTTACTTACATAATAATCAGCATCATACTGAAACAAAGTCTAAGCAAGCCACACCAAAATGAATAAAAGTATTTCTTTTGTTCTGAAGGGTACGGAAAAATCATTTAACACTTGAATTACAGGGAATGGGACTTAAAACTGAATCCTGTCCGGTTTGAACAATTCGCGTATTGCATGTGGCTTATACACTAATAAATCAAGCTTAATAGCGTTCTTGAGTTACATAACTAATGTTGATGGCCATAAACTGAATAACAGTCTAGTCTTGACAATGATGAAAAAGCCAATGCAATCCGAGATATATATAGGCATATTATTTCACTTGACTAAACAAGTTTCGAGCGATTAAAGGAGTGCAGTAGTAATTCCACGATTACATCCACCGACTTCGGATGAAATCCACAGACTAGCAAATAAAGATATATGAATATGCACAATCCAAAAGAAAAGTGAAGTAAACAGTTGAACTAAAAGTCCAAATAACAAATTAGACATTTTATCATAGATCTAAAAGATAGTGAACAACTTATCTTGAAGGGAAGTTGAATTCACAGAGTAACTGGTTTCAACAACCTAACTAAACAGATAAATTCAAATGCTGACAAAAATAAGCCATATTAGGGACTACCACATCAAATATCGATTTCATGAAAAATTTTGGGTCTTATCATATCACCAAGATCAAAATAAGAATAGAAAAAACCAAAAGTCGATTATTTGATCATATGCGAAAGAGAAATTGCTCATTTTTGTCCAGGCATTGTGTCAAGGCCAGAAAATGGAAACCACAAGAGATGCTATCTCTTCGTTGTAAGAAGGCATTTTACATTTTTAGTCAAATGATTGAACAGTTTAAGAAACGGTGATATAACAAGACCTAGATCGATAGCTAATGTCACGGTAAACACGAAAAAGGTGAAGGGAATGGTAAGACATCATAGAAGGAGGGTTTAAAGTGCAGTCAACTCGAAAGCAGGCGTTCAATAACCCCACCTTTTTTGAAACCGTTTAACGACAGAAAGAGTAAGTGGTTTCTTTTTCGTACCTGACTCTTTGAATATTTGTTTACTTTCTTCCTTTCGCTCATCGTAAACCCTGGTTCCGGCAACTTCCCTTAGTAATTTCAATCTTTGGTGATCAGGTGCAGTAGCCAGCTGAGTGATCTGAGAAAAAATCACATAAAAAAGGTAAACATCGGATTTGAATATTGAGACAGTTGTGGAGTGATATACTTGAAGAAGCATCAAGACACCTTAAAAAATAGCAGTAAGTACTTAATTTTAAACCAAGAATTGGGATTAAAACCAATTGACATTTAATCTGCACTAGGCACATAAAATTATCGAAACTCGTAATACTTCATTTATTTGAGGAATTTCAGTTTTAATCATGTAATAACGATATTTATAGAAATCCAATAACTTAAAACAAGTATTTGTAATTATTAACGGTAAAAAGCGTACTGGATTGTTCGACATTCTTCCTTTTCACTTAATAAACCGGCACAGCCCAACAAACACCTTAAAGGGGGGTCTACATTGAAAGCCCTCAGGACGGACTAACAACAATATTGTGTCCAATAATTAAGGTTCGGTTGTCATGAAATAATGAGTATACGTGAAGTCATTTGTTGTTAGTATGAGCTGGACAGTTTTCCTACTCCTGTGTATATTGGCATGCACGTCATAACATGCTTCAACTTATCAGGTGACTGCTGATAACCAACAAATGAAACTCTGCAAAAAGACAGTTGTGAATGCTTTACTTAATCCACATACACGAAAATCACATGTTAAACAATACGTGGTTGTGGGGGAAAGATTTAAGTGGTAAATAACAAAAGCAAAAGGTAATACACTAACCTTTCCTTGTTTAACAATATAGTATGGATTACTACGAGAAAATCCAGCGCTCTCCAGCATGTTCATTACATCAGCTTTCCTGGACGAAGTCATTACATGCTACTAAACCTACGTGACCATCTTCTTGTCAAGAAAATACTGATCTTTCTTGCTGCCAATAATCCTCCGCAAAGAGACTTCATTTTTATCAAACTATATGAATAAAACTTTTCAGAATGCCTTACAGGAATTCGATTGTCTGAGTTGTCGAAAATCATTTCCACGTAGGCAGATATGACTCGTGGACCTGTGCCTTCGTGAAGCAGATTTTGTCTCTCCTGATTACTGAGGTGACTATACTCGTCAGAGAGCACAAACTGTATTGCTTGAAAGAAATTAGACTTCCCCGAACCATTACGGCCGACTTTTTATATTATTATTATTTAAGCAAACAAACCTATTATGTTGTGATGTGGACTAAACTCCTCAGGACAGGTCTGGTCTCTATAACTGCGAAAGCCTTGAATAATAACCTTTTTTATATACATATTCGCCCATCAATTGAGTTGTAGCGTCAAATTTGAATATCCGCCAACGCTCTTATTCCAATAACTGATCCCACATCATTTTAAACAACTAGTGTAAACCAATTTGGTATTTTTGTGCCGGCTTCTTGGATGTAAGGTAAAGATCTCTGTTTTTTGGTCAACCTCTGCGAAGCACATCACAACACTCGACTGATGTAGCTTAGTTTGACTCCAAGAAGGTTGATTATATACGGTTTGCAGTATGCGGTATGTTAAGGCCGTGTCACTACTGTGGATGGGGTTGATCCTCTCGCCCGTTAGTCGTCCGTTGTGGTCGAAAGAGAGACAACAATAACAACCCCATCCCGTAAAAGTAAATTCCACTGCTACCGAAACCTCAGAGCTCTACCCTGAAGCCCTGTGTTTCACTGGGAACGCAAAGAAATAAAGCAAATAATAATAAACTAATAAATAAATAAATAATAGTATATTCTCATTTTGTACATGAGGGACGCCAGTTTACAGGCATCATCAATATGATAAATTACATATACGATGAGTAAACATATTTAATAATAGTAATTTCATTAAATACATTTTTTCCTACCTGTGTAGGACACATCAATTGTACATGCATGGATAAGTATCATTTAAATTACATAAATTTGGTTCATGGTAAAATTATAAGGTTGCAGTCATTTTGTCTATGGGAACAATATGATAACTAGTCATTCAATGGAGCACATCAAGAAATATAGAAGTATTGTCTTCGCATTAACAAAAAAAACCCAAGTGTGTTTTGGATGGATTACAAATACTTGGGAAAAAAATAAAGCTTGAAGTAATTCCTCCATATAAATAAATAAATAAATAAACTTATTCTCATAGTACAGTACATGAGGGTCGCCAGTTTACAGGCATCATCAAATTGTTACAGAAATAGAACCATATAATTCAATCACAATTTACAGGCAGTAGCAAGATGTGCTTTACATGTTCGCTGGAGATTATACATACACTTGATAAATGTTAATCCCAGTAGTATAAAACAGCCTTTTCACTTGTATACAATCATTTCTGTGCAAAGTTGGAAAAATCTGCTAGATTGTCAGTGAGTGCAACACAACAGGAAATACAGGAGTATTGTCTTCGCATTAACAAAAAAACCAGGTCTTTGGTGGATGGATTATAAGTGCCTGGGAAAAAAATAAAGCTTGAAGTAAATATTCATACATAACTTTGTTGTGTGCAGAGTCCTCGAATTATAGTTCATTGATGTGTTATTTTGAGATCAGTGATGTGTTTATCTCATTTGATCTTCAATGTCATTGTTGGGAGTAAGTACATAAGCTTCGGACGCATTAATTAATGGATTTCTACTGCTTACGAGTATTTTCTTAGCGTGAGGAAGGTTTATGAAATTCAGCTGTTCCGACAGGAGTTGAGAATATTAACTGCTCAGCAACATTATGGATATAAGTTCATCACATTATCTAGGGAAAGGTGGGTTGCAGTTGGTGAGGGATATATGGTGCCCAACGAGCGTTCATCTGTCCATGTGATGTTGTGGTCAGTTATACCTTTTTCATGTTGTCGGTTTATGTCCATTTTATTCCACTTATTGTGTTGGGTAGTAGTTTTACAAACGAGATTTCTTGTCTGTTTGAGGATACGTATCTTAACCGTTAATGTTTTATCTAGAATTATAAATATAGGCAAAAACAACAGGTGTAGTATTTAAGCTTATACATTAAATGGACCTATAATTTCGGAGGCTCTCAGATAGGAACTAGAACTACTATCGTTTGCAAACTCTTGTAATTTGTCATTAAGCACCTTTTTGAAGGAGGCCAATGTACTTGCTTGACCCATTTCCATTGGCAGTTTATTCCATATCTGTGCATACCTAATCAAGTAAAATTTTTGCCTGGTGGCTGTTTTACATTGTTCGATAGCTACTGTACCCTTAGTATGTCTTAGTTTGTAGCCATTGTCATCTGAAAGTCGAGTGCCATTAGTAGAGGTAAAAACTAAGTGGTTTAGAAGCTTATAGTAAAGTGTCAAGTTTAGTCTCAGGCGTCTTAGCCATAGTGTTTCTAGTCCTAGGGTATCACATCTAGTGTAGTAGTTCGTACCATTTTCAGTTCCGAGTAATTTTAACGTGAAGTACCTCTGCGCTCCCTCGACTTTCAATTTGTCCTCTATGCGTGTGCTACTATACATGAATGAACAGTAATCAAATAAAGGACGCACACAAACCTTGTACAACAGAATTCTAGACTCATTTCTGTAGAAGTTCCTGAGTAGAAAGCCGATAAGTCTGCGTGACTTTGACACTTGTTTGGAGATATGTTCAGAAAATGATAAGTTATGTGAATATTTCAGCCCTAGGTCCAGTACAGATTCCAGTCGTTGAAGTGCATGGCCTTGAATTGTCAGGTCAAGTTCTAAATTGTTGCAACCTATGCAGAGCCAGCCACATTTTTCGACATTAAATTGGAGTTGCCAGGTGTCACACCATCTATCCATTTTTTCTAATTCTTGCTGTATGGCGTTTACTGTTATTCCAATATCTGTGTTCTTGCATTTATACGTCACTTTTAAGTCATCTGCATATAGTATTGGTTTACCTACACTAAAGCATTCACAGATACTGTTTATATATATTATGAATAAGAGTGGGCCTAATACACTTCCCTGGATTACACCACTACTTACTGGTTTAGGCCTTGAGATTATTGAGCCAACTTTCGTTGTCTGACTTCGGCCACAGAGGAATGATTTTATCCAGCTCAGGAGAGGATCACATATCCCTAGTGAGCATAACCTGCTGACTAGCAGATTATGGGGAACTCTGTCGAAGGCTTTTGTTATATCGAAATATAGTACAATTACTAGTTCTCTGCTGTCCCTACTTCGTGTAACTTCATTGAAAAAGTCTATGTGACAGGTCACACATGATCTTTTTTTAAGAAATCCGTGTTGTGATGGATTGATAAGTTCATGTTCTAGTAAGTTGTCTGACACTTGGTCTTTAACCACTTTCTCCATTATTCGGGATATTACCGGTGTTATATTGATAGGTCGATAGTTGCATACACTGGTTTTGGCCCCTGCTTTGTGCTTAGGTAATATGTATGTGGTTTTCCACACTTCAGGATAAGTTCCAGTTTCCAACGAGAGAGTAAATATTCTACGTAACAAGACTACCATTTCCGTGCTACCATTTTTGTACATGACAGATGGTATGTCATCTGTTCCAGTACTACCATTAGACTTCAAAGTCTTAATCGCTGAGTCTATATTTTGTATATTAAAGTCTATTTCGCCTAATTTGTGGTTACTTTTGCAGGTCATTTGGAAGTTTTGGGTCGGGTGCACTCTGGCGTCATTGCAAAACCACTCATTGAGGAGTTCACTTATAACCTGGGGACCATTGTATATTATACCCTTATGTTCCAAGCTGCTTACAGTATTGTCTTTACTGCTTTTTAGACGTTTCTGCAATATCCTACAAAGTTCCTGAGTTTTGGAGTTGTCCACAAGCGCTTTATTTTCTTCAAGTTGTGACCTCATTTTGTGTTTCTCTCCAAGCCCTTTAAGAGTTTCATGTATTTGGTTTAACGCATTAAATTCCTTAAATACATGGTATTTCCTTTTCAATTTCTTTAGTTTTAGTCGCGTTTTGCGGTCTATAAATGGAGTTGGTGTCTTTAGAGCAGATTTTAGGGGCGCGATTATGTCTCTTGCTGAGCCAATTGTTTTGTAGAAAATATCAAGTGATACTTCTAAGTTATTGTTGATGAAGTATTCTTCCCAGTCAGAACTTCTCAGCAGATCTGATAGGAATTCCCAATCGGCATTCTTATAGTCCCTATACTGATAGTGCACCGGGGAATTTTTAGGTGTGTGTTTAGTTGTTAGTCGGAGGGGTAGCGTGCAGTACAATATGTTGTGATCACTGTTATCAAGTTTATTTCCTACCTCTATCGAGATGGGCTCTATTTCATGACAAAGGATTAAGTCAAGAGTGTTTTCATTTCTTGTAGGGAGGCGTACGCACTGCTTCCATCCGCCTACGTCTATAGCTTGTAGTAACTCGTCATGGATTCTAGGTCCTGTACAGGTATCCCAGTTTACTCCAGGTAAGTTGAAATCGCCACAGACTACTTTGTAGTCAAAGTCCAGCGTAGCTGCATGCTCTAGTATTTCTCCAATGGTTATATCAGTCATTTCAGAGCTATTAGGGGGTCTGTATATACATCCCATGAGAATTTTATTTTCGTTTGTGTGGATGCTTATCCACTTAGATTCAGGGAGTTTGTCAGTAGTTGGGTTATTGAAAGTATTGGAGTTAGTGGATTTAGAGACATATATTAAGCAGCCGCCTCCTCTTTTGTCAACTCTATCGTTCCTATAGATGTCGTAGTTGTCTATTACTAGCTTTGAGTCAGGTATATCAGTAGTAAGCCAGGTTTCAGTCACCATTATTAGTGTTGGCCGTTCTATGTATGCCAGGCAGCGAAGCGATGTTATTTTGTTAAGGAGAGATCTAGCATTCAGGAGCATAATCGTTAGTAAACCAGAGTTATTGGGGGAGAGGTTAACATGGTTACTTGTTACTATTCCTACGTTATGTTTGGAGGGGCTCTGAGGTGAGACAGAGTCAGTGTGTGTACTATTTCCTGAATGAATTGTACAGCGAGTGGGGCTATTGTTTGCTGCATCCGAAAATAATCCTGTTGCATGTTTTGACTTTTAGCATCCATAGGTGGGTATCTGCGTTCATTTACTGGTGATATATAGTTTGCTTGACCTAGGTACCCTGTGTTAAGATTACCTTGGTAGTTGTACCTCATGGGTCTTTCATAGTCGTATGCATATTGCCTCACATCGCATGTGTGAGTGAAGTTATTGAGAGGGTCAAGTGTCGATCTATACTCATTATGTTGCTGAGGTTCAACATAGATCGTGTGAGAGTTTGGACAAGAATATGCATTAATATGGTGCCTATATGAGCCCCGTTTAGTGCTCCTTATATCCTGATGATCCGTTCTACGTTGCATTCCCAAGTTATGTGCGTTGCTAGGCA